GCTCTCTCATCTCCATTAAGTTTCTGGAACCTGCGTACCTCACAGAAGGTGACTGAGCAAACGTGCTCATGGGTAGGCTTGATGGGGACTCCCCAAAATGGCACCTTCACCACTGAAAATCAAAGTTGCCTGATGCCAGGCCATTGTAGCTCCTGAGTCAGCACCATGCCTCCCATCTGCCACAGAGACACAGGGCGTTTATGCCCCCCAAAACTTCTGGAAGTGCTACAAGGATGAAGGCACAGGCTGGTGGAGCGAAGACTGCCTAAGAGAAATACATACATATAATTTTAAAGTTTCTAGTAGGCACATTAAAAAGATTAAAAGGAACAGGTGACATTAATTTTAATACTCTAGCTTATTTAACCAATATATGCAAAATATTATCATTTTACCATGTAATCAATATACAAGTTATTAATGAGCTATTTTGGATTCTTTTTTGGTACTAAGTCTTAGAAATCCTGCACATATGTTATTCTCGCAGCACATCCTACTTTGGACTAGCCACCTTTCAAATGCTCAAAAGCCACATTTGACTAGAGGCTACTACACTGGACGGACAGTGCATATATAGAATATTTCCATCATCATAGAAAGTTCTATTAGACAGTGCTGGGCTGAAAGACCAAAAAGGCTGTGGGAAACAGATTGACAGTTGAGAGCAGGATGGACTATAAGAATTAGAGCACCAGTGGGAACGGCAAGGGCTGGGATGTTCTAGAAGCCCAGCCCGACCTCTAAGTGGAGATAAAAATGGGCTCTTGCGAGAGGCCCAGGGCCCATGCCCACACTGTGGGGAGCTGCCTGTGCCGACACTGTTGGGGGCTGCCCCTGCAACAGCGGGAAGGCCAGCGAGTATCATCATTATTTAAGGCATCTGCTGCTTGAGCAGCCTGTATCTTAGCTCTTCCGATCTGCTGAAGGCAGGGGCTGGAACAGAAGATCACCAAAGTCACGTATGTTCTTTCAATAACAATTCTGGGCTTGCAATCTAATTTGGTGAAGCAGACACAGAAATATGATCAAATTACCTGCGCCTGCATCTGTATGTGCATGTGTGTTCTTGTGTGTGATCTCGGCTGGAGAGAAAAGGAGGGTCATGAGCGAAATCTAGAAGTACTAATGTGGTCCCCCAAATCACCTCCTCAGCAGCTGTCATCAGAACACCGAGCAGTAGACTTGAGAGACTCATCAGAAATTGTGAGCCACAAAGGAGACGCCTTGCGTCTGGAAAGAATGAGACGACGGGCATCTGGGCAGACAGTCAGGTGGGAGGGAGAAGTGGTAATCAGAAGCATTCTCCAAAGACAAGCGCTGCCAACTCTACAGCAAGGATGTCACCCTGATCCCCAAATCAAGCTTAATTCAGAATCCCACACAGGCTTTTATGCAGGGGAGAGTGCAATTAGCAATATTTCCCCCTCCTTGAGAGCCTCATTCTCTGAAGTTCCCCTTGTATTCTGATCAAGGAGGCAGCAGAGTCAGAAACATCTCATATATGGCTTCAAATCCTAGCTCTCTCAGTGGCTCCAGAATTTCTAGGGGGTTAAAGGCTACATCTAGTTGGAAGGGGGCTAAAGGACTCGCTTTGATGGTGTATTTGCATAGCAAGACCCCACCTCATTTTTATTGAGAGTTTATTTATTTGAGATGTTTAAGAGTCAGAAATACCTTACCCAACCTTTGGCTCCACCATAGGCCTCAGGCAAATTACTTAATCTGTCTCAGGCTCAGTTTCCTCATGTACAAGATGGAATGCTTTGCCCATCTCTCGTGGGCTTGTCAGCTGGGAATTTCCCAGGGCTAGAACTGGAGCACGACACCAGGAGCTCCGAGTCCCCAACCAAACACAAATCTCTGGATTTCTCCCTTGACAATGACTTACAGCTCCCTTTCACCACCATTCACTCCATCAGCTTCATCATTTAGTCATTCAACCCTCACTTATTAAGCAACAGTTGGATGTTGGGGATTCCAAGATGAAAAGGCACAGTCTTCCCATGTGAAATAGTTAGGGACTATTTGGGGGTCTATCTACTTGGCACATAAGCATGTACCCCGATGGCTGGACTGCTTCACTGGTGCCCCCACCCCCAGTTACGTACCATATTTTATGAATGGGTAGGGGCTAAGACTCTGGTCTTTGGGAGAAATAAGTAAGAAACTTGGGGGAGGATCATGTTGCCTCTTTAAGTTGTAACCACTGAAGTGTGGAATCAGACACGTGATTGGAAATTTCTCTGAGCCTCAAATTTCTTATCTGTAAAATAATGCCTCTGTCACATCATGGTTTCCCACATGTGAAGTGTCTGGCAGACAGAGGGCAACAACAAATGTTAATTTCCTTCTGGACTTACTCTCCTCCACCACCCTCCTCCCCCAAATCTAAGGTTACAGAAGGAGCCAGAAAACAGACATTTGCTATTTTCCTATTCTAGATTCAGAGCACAGTGTGTGTGTGTATCTCTACATACAAAATACCTCCATTCTGAGTTTTGGGGAGACCAGTCCTATCTTGTTTTTGGGTCATTACAGCTAGAGCCATATTGGTTTCCTGATGCTATAGCACTCCCAGCAACACCTTGTCACACACCTCCCAGCCTTTTCTTTTTCTTTCTTTTTTTCTTTTCTTTCTTTTTTCTTTTTCTTTTCTTTTTCTTTTTTTCTTTTCTTTCTTTTCTTTTTCTTTTTTTTTGTCTATTTTCTATTT